TAATTTTATTATTAAAAGATAATAATAAATATTTTATAACATTTTTTTCTATTTTTTTATATATTTTCATATGATGACACAATAATGTAGGGTAAAAAATGAATTTTATGCTTTTGTTGGAATAGAAGTATCAATCGGCGTCTCGCTCGAGGCAAATTGAATTAACAATACGGTTCTCGAAAGAAGAAAGATGAAGTCAAATACTTCACCATCCCCCGAACTCGACTCTTTTTTATACCTTTTCGTAGTCTAAAAGAAAATGTTTTTTGCGGTATACCCGAGATACTTTATCAACAAAAGCGACATATAAAAATAGTAACAACAAGAACGTATTGGTAACTCAAATAGTTTTCAACACCAATTGTATAAACTTTTCTTTATTTTTCAATTAATTACACATGTTCAGTCAACTAGATATAGTAAAAAAGTTCGAAACATGTTTAAAAGTCATCATCTTCTCAATATTAAAGAAAACGAATTGGAAAAACTTCTGAAATTAAATAAAATTAAAAATTCTGGTACAATCCAAATAAAGTAATTTATAATTAATAGTTATTACTTAATTAAGATGATAATAATAATTATTATCAAATTAGGAAAACAGGCCGGAACCTAAATGTTCCAGGTGATCTGGTTCTGGAAAAACAATTTTCTAAAACAGGAAATTTCGCAGTAGTAGATCTACCAAAACATGTGAGTTATGTCGATCTTTTATCAGGTGATGATCAGCAATCGGCATGACTTTTTACATGATCTTCCTAAAATAGACAGACATGTGACGACCATTCATTAGTTGGTGTAATTTAAGATCGACATGCTAATTTTCTAGGGTTCATGTCAATCCTAAACATGTAATTTCCAAAAAAGGATAAATTAAATTTGCTTTGAGCGAATTTTCTTTTTGAGTGATACCTAATAGGAAATTCCGCAGAATTTCCTTTTTGGATGATTCCAAATTAAGAAGAGATCGACCCAACCCATGTGATTTAGGGTTAGGGTAAAAAATGAGTTAGGGTTAGGGTTAGGGTTAGGGTAAAAAATGAATTTTATGCTTTTGTTGGAATAGAAGTATCAATCGGCGTCGAGCTCAAGGCAGATTGAATT